TAAGCAACTATCTCTTTCGGTTTAAACCATACAATGCTGGCCCCAAGTGTCAGCATTGGGATTGTCAGCAGTTCCCCAGCAGCGTACTGGTCCCGAGGTGCAGGGTGTCTTAGGCCGAGTCCAGCATTGTGAAAATAATGGGGCTATTTAGCCACGTCACCTGGAACGGAGTTAATACCCTAGCAATCTCAGACGCACTAACAAGGTAGGTCGGAACGGTTCTTACACTTTTCTCAGGAATGACTCCTTTTGCTACATAAACTGCAGGGCCAGACAGATTAGCATGGCCCAGGTTTCTAGACACTTTTCAGTCAACCGTAGCTGCTCTAATACTTGAGATTTGCTGATAGTTCTTGTCGGAAAAGCGCTTGCATTCCTGAGCTACTTTCTTCTATCGGGATCATCTTAATTTTTGTCTGAGTCTGAGATCAAGGAAACGAGTAAAAACTGAATTCAGCTGTTTGGATGCCTCTTGCATACCAAGAGCTTCTTAGACAGTGCCTGATGCAATAACCAACACATATTAATTGGTGCCGATGGCAGGAGGTAGTCTCTCTAGCTAGAATCTGCTCACACAAGCCCTGCTGAATGGACAGTGATGCCTGCTATAAGCAGACTCTCATATTGGCTTTAACAACTTTAGGTGAAAGATTACACTGTGATATGTATGTTTTTTTTGGTTTCCTCCTCCGTTGCATTGTTTTTAATAAGGCATTGAAAATAAATCTAAGCAGCTCAAGATGATCATACTAAGGCATCATTTCCTTGTATTCAGTGTGAGGTTTTCTCTGCTATGTGACAGCTCCGGGTATGAAATAATCTAGATTCCCCCCAATTGCCAGGAGCAGTAACATGTCTCAGTCTATCACGATTATTATGATTCTAGGAGGGGAAGGCAGTGCTAATCATTTAAAAAGCTTTGATCACGAATGTGTTTTGAGTGAACAGCTTGAAGTTGAGTCCATCGAAACAGTGTTTGTCAGGGCGCAGGGGCCAGAGGTCGGCCTGTAAGTCAGCTGCCTGTTAGCGCTGAGACTGCCCAGGAGCCGTGAAAGCTCTCACCCAAGCGCTTGCTGGCTGGCGGCAGGCCGCTGCCTTGGGTGGTGAAGTGGTTGCCTTCAAGTGTTCGGGAGGTGGTTCCTATGGGAAGTTTCTGGACAACAATACATGTGAAATGACTTAAAGGTCTTCAAGTATTCTTGGCCTTGGTCTGCCGACAAATGGAGATTCAAACACAGGAGTTTGAGGGGATTTTAATGAAGTTTTATTAAGGGAATGAGAAAGGGGGAGTTGGGTGTGTTGAGGATTCAATGGCAATATTACCTTAAGGGTTTGATTTCCATTTCAGGCTACATAATCCATATTATCTTTGAGTAAAGGGAACAATTTTAACACCCTGGCTTCCTCAGAAGTTTCGGTTCTCACATAGTCACTGTAGACAACAGCACTGTCAAATGAACAAAGGTTTAATTAAATAAAAGATAGTTAAACAGAGCAGAAATATTCTTCCCTTGCTAGCCACACACTGGAAAATTCAGAGAACAAATCTTGGGGGAATTGTTGATGGATTACTTCTTCTGTTCCCTGTGTGCTGTTATGTTTTTCTTTTTGGTGTCAAATCTCAAGTTGGATACAGTCAATTGTCTACAGCAAACAAAAGGTGCGTAAATGTCTCTTCTGTTACGGTTGTTTATATTTCATCACTGAACAAAGCAAATTTTCCTTCCCTGCTTCTTCCGCTGAGAGCAGATAGAACTGACACGATTTGAATATTGGGAAGGTTCTGTTGTCACTTTGAAAGTATAATGATTGATTTAGTCATTAAAAGGTTTATTACACAGATTTTTTTGTTGCTAATGTTACACTTCTGTAAAATTCGTTGAAGAAACACTATTTGCTGAGGATTTGAAAGGATTTGCTATTGGGTCAAGTACGTCAAGTACCTAAGGGTGTGGTGCTGGGGTTACGTGTATGTCAATTCCATTGTGTGTGTGTGTGTGTGTGTGTGTGTGTGTGCGCGCTTTTCTATTTTTGTCACCTCTTTTAACTTAAAAATGTTTTCCTTTAATAACTACAAATTTGGAACTTTGGTATAACAGCAGTAGTTGGTATATGTAATACTTTAAAATATAATGGGAAGTATAAACTATTGCCAACAAAACAAAACAAACCAAAAAGCCGGGTCCCCAGGGGCTCTGTCAACTTTTTATGTCATTCTCTCCCCCAACAATCCCACGTGGTACATTCTTGTGTGGTCTAGGTTCCAAGGGCCAGGGGAGCTGGGCATTAACCTATCTTCCCAATGTACACTTTGAGCATAGTTATTTCCTTTCAGGTACGAAAAGCATTTAACTGTTCTCATGAAATGCCTTTTCTCTCCCTGCTTCAGCCCCTTTTTCCTTGTTTCTGTATTTGGGTGAGAAGGGTGCACATCTGAAGCGACAGCTCTCAGACTGCTCTGGAAAACGATCTCTTTTCCTCCTCAAATGATCCTTTTGGTTTCAAGTTCATTTCAGGTACCCTAAGCCTCCCTGGACTCATGCTTAATAACAAGTGATCCTACAAACGATTAGAATGGAAAAAGAGAAAATAAAATTGAAGCATACCTAGTTGCCCCAGTGGCTTCCTGCGTATAATTTGACTCAGCATTACTCCTGCTAAAAATAAAAAGATGAAGATTACCTGAGGTTTTTGCGGCTGTCATTGCCCTTCGGTTTCCAGGGGCAGCTCGGTCCTTTAATGCCGGCTCGACTGGGATTGCCACGCCAGAAAAGGTCGTGCTCCAGGTGTAGTCGCATTTTCTCAGGTCAGCTGTCCTGCCCTCAGACAATGGAGCTGTGATTTTTCTCCAGCCCTTGTGAGGGAAAGTGATTCCAGATAAGCAGATTATTGTGTGGACTATCTCATCTTTGTTGTTCTAGTGCAGCCCTTTCAGCTTTCCAGAGCCAGTTAGACTTGTTATGAGGAGCTAAATGATTGGCTGGATCTGGGGCTCAGTTTCATAAATTATAGCCCAGCGTACGAGCAGCACGAGTCCTATAGTTGCCGTAGTCCAGAGGCCTGCAGTTCCTGCTTTAACGCCTATGTAGTGGTAATTGAGTTCTAACACGGCCTTGGATGTTTCTGTCCTAAATAGCTGACATTGCATCTTCAAGACTGTGTGAGTAATCCTGACTTTTTTTTTTTTAAACTCAGTAAATTAATTACATGCCCTGAGAGGGAGTGATTGTAATTAGAAAATACTGAATTAGCAGATGATTCATTTTCAAGGTGCTGTTTTATATGTATCACATTCAATGCAATTTATCTTAATGTGTCTACGACCTGGCAGGGCTATTCCAGCTTTTTGCCATGAATCACAATCAGGCTGCATTTTGAAGGAGGCTGTTCAGTGTGTTGTAGCCCTGTGTGTTTTATGGGGTCAGTTAGGTGATAAAGCTCCAACACGAGCAGATGAAAGCAGGCTTCTGGTGTCTGGGCAATGGCTGGGAACACTTGAGTCAGGCAAGTTTCAAGATTTTCTGTCCCTACCGGTGAATACTGAGAGGAAGCAGGGAATGATCATTTTGGGGCGCAGGTACACAGCCGTGAAAGCGCCAAAAAAGGAGAAATATATAATGATGGCAACGATACTTTTCTTCGCTGTCCTCTGAAGCTGAATTAAGATATTCTGTATAAATAACTAGGTAATTTTTACTTGTATAAAACTGTTAACGTGGCAGAGAGCTGAATGAGAAACTACTAGCTCATTTTTAAAAGCCTTATAAGAAGTGTATTAAACACACACAGACACAACCATAATAGAAGAAAGTATGTGGACTGGAATTTGTGGTTGCAGCAGATCAAATTATCCCAGGGAAGCCGTTGTTAGGTTTGTGTAATTGTTGCGGGGGGGACTTCTGTTGCTAACGAGGCTTAAGATAAAGCTGGAGAAGATTGAAATGAGAAACTAGAAAACATCAGCATTTTATTACCTTCTGTAGCATACACTATGGGATAGAATTAATACTGAGTATGACTGGTTAGTGTAAGCAGTTCAGTTTTCACTTAAAAACATTGATTTCTTCTATCATTGAAAAAATAGGGCTTTTGTTTATAAAGTTAGTGCTTAGAAATAATTTTCCTTCCTTCCAAATAATTTTTATACTTTTTACTACAGCACAAAGCTAGGTAATTTCTTATAATTTGGCATTGTTTACCAATTTGCCTTTTCTGTCATTTTTTTTCTCTTTAGACCCATAAATACAAATGAATACATTTGTGCTATGTATAAGCCTCGTGCATAAATCATTTGAACAGTTTTTTAAAATCACAGGTTCCTGTGGCAAATATAAACTTCTAATAGCAATTGTAATTACTTGCCAATTCCTATAAAATATTATTTATTTACTCAAGAGCAGTTTATATTTGGTTCCATATATTTAAATGACTGACATAATTTAGCCGGTAGGAGAGAAATATTAGTTGTGGTTTTGCAAAATTTTATGGTTAGATCATACTGGAAATGCAAAGTTCTGCTGTTAAAAATATAAAATAAAAATATGACCCTGTTATAGGTCACATCCATGGATGAAACTTATAAAAGGAAAGAAAAATAATCAACGTAGAATTTGTATCAACCAAATGTATGTAAAGCAGTTTTCAAGAAAAGTAATTCTGATATATTCTTTGAGGAAACACATTTACTTTATGAAGAAATGGCCTGAGTCTTTCATTGGGGTAGAAAAGCGGGTTCATTTATTGAGTTTCCAAAGCCATAGACACTAACAGTCATAGTTGATTCACTCGTTGTTCTACATTCCTAACTGTATTAGTGGAAGAAAGTGGTGCACTTATAAAAGGAATAAAATCGCATCCCTCAAGGTGGTTCGAGGCCCATCAGAGTAAGAAGTGGTGGGGGTGGAAGCTCTTTACCTGAACTAGCTTCTGACTTCTAACTGGGCTGCTCTTCTTCTGGTGGAATTTGTGTATTTTTCTTGATGCAGCAATCATCTTCCCTTTCCCCCGTTCCTATCTTCTGTCTTTATATTAACTCACTTGGGCTCTTATTGAGATGCATCAAATAAAAATGACAATGTTTCATGATCAAACTTTAATAAGCTGCCCATTGAATTCAGAAGGTGTTTAGAAGATGTTTAGGGCTCAGGGAAATTCCGGTGGATATATACTAGGAATATTAAGATCTAGCCCTGGTACTTCCTCCAAGACCTTCATCTTTGTAGGTCTCCCGGAGATCCCAGGATCACATCTCTTTCTTGTGAATGGGCAGGATTTCAAGAAAAGCAAGACTGGAGGGGTGCCAGGTGTTCAGTGGACACAAGGCTGTGGGCAAGGCACTGAGGGAGAAGGAGATATCTTCAGAACAGCTGATCTTCCCTTTCTCTACACCTCTTTATTTTGTAATGCCATTTTCGTCTGACTGTGGAAGTTCTTTTGCAGATAAAATTCTGTAAAACTATGCATATCTGCCTTAGACAGATGGATTTGACATAAGATGTATCCAAAAAGGAATGTATTACATCATGAACTTGCAAAGTGTTCATGAATACACATTGGCATTTGGAAACTATTAACACTACCTACTAAAGCAATGACATAAATCCAAATTGAAAAAAAATATTATTTCTTGATTGAATTACATTTTCCAGTGTTTTATTTGGTGAATTTTGCTTTTGGAAAAACTTACTCTTTCTTCTTTGACATTTTTCCCCCCAGCGTTATATATAACGGACTAATCTTATTGCTTAATCTTGCCTCCCAATTTAATTATTTCTAGTTGACATTTTCAAAAGACTTGCCAGCCTACCTTGAGCATGTTTTAAAAATGGAGCAAAACAAATGAAACAATCCCCACGCCCCCACACAACACCACAAATGCTTTAGCTATTTTAGTTTCCTCCTCTGGGAAGTTTGACAATACCCAATGGTGGAGGAGGAGCTTTCATTTATTATTTTATTTCATTTTATTATTTGAAAATAATTAATTACTCTATTTTAATTATATAGTGTATGCAGGTGATATAAGTTCCTGTTTTATTAATCACTAGCCAAAATTGTGTCCCTTAAATTTCCAATTTCAAAAAGCCCAATGACTTAGTGAATTAATCTTGGTTAGTGAGATTATGCTTAGGTTATTAAATTTTTGTAAGCCTCAGTTTCTATATCTATAAAATGAAAATAATGGTACTGTTCTGGTATTTTACTGTATCAGCGATCAGAAGCATATTGAGAGAGTGCTTATGAAAGAACATTTTAATTCTTTGTACATTGTAATGTACTGTACAAGTAATACACTATTATTGCTATAGAAGCTCAGAGCACTAGTTAGCTTCCTTTACTTCTCAGTGTATGTTTCAAGTAATGGATAAATACTTTTTAAAGCAAAGTAAGTTTTCACTTTTGATCTTGAAAAGTTATAAAGGCCGTCAGAGCCTCAGTTCTTATCTGTCTATCACTTAACTATCAAAATACCAGTAGGGTGACTGTGGCAAGTAAATGTGGTATCGTATGTAAAGACATATTTATTAAACTAAGTGCCATATAAATGTTACTTATAATAAGTATTTCCAACATATTAATAAAAATATAAATTATCAATTTTTAAAATGAAAAATATCCGGTATATTTCTTCCTGATTAGTTTGATTAACATTCTAAGCGATGTCTGCCTCCCCCAGACAGGATGGATTTTCTTGTCGGTTAAGCTTGTGCCATGACTTTCTTTACAGTGAGATATAGCACTGAGCCGAGAGTCACATAAGCATTCCTTCACAGTCTACATTGAGAGTTGTTAATAGCAAAGCTTTAGGACATATAGTTTTCTCACAGGAAAAAATGAATTAAAAAATTCAGACTGACCGATGTTCTTAGATTAAAAAATTATTTTTATTGATTTCAGAGAGGAAGGGAGAGGGAGAGATAGAAACAACAATGATGAGAGAGAATTATTGATCGGCTGTCTCCTGTATGCCTTCTCTGGGCCCCGAGCCCAGAATCTGGGCATATACCCTGACCAGGAATCCAACTGTGACCTCCTGATTCATAGGTCAATGCTTAACCATTGAGCCATGCCGACTGGGCTGTTCTTAGATTTTTTTTATTTCTGTCTTGGCTCAATTAAATTTCACTAGTGGAATAATCACATGGGCTTTAAGGTGATACTTATCCTTAGGACTTTTCATCTGAGGAAGAACAAGAAAAGTCAAAATGACTTTGTGAATGATTCAGAGTTCAGTCAGCAGTTGTGAATCCCTAATTTTTAACTGGTTCTTCTTTCGAAGACCATCATGCTTTTTGGAATATTGGTCACAGCTGTTTCCTACATTCCAGCTTCTTGAGGACACTGTTGTTAGGATTTTATTTCCTAACAGTACTATTGGTTAGTTGGAAGAAGTTCTACCACCTGTAGTACTTTTTTTTCTTTGTGGATGAAATCATAAAAGTGGAAGGCACAGTAAGCAAAACAAAATAAATGAAATGGATCCTCTCCCACCCAGCAATTCACGAGGGAACTTTGTAGAAATGAAGGAATTTCATTTGTAATACAGCTTGAATATGGCCACCTAGGACCATTGTCCAAACTTTTTTTGTGTCTTTGGTGATTGTGTAAGAGCACTCTTCAGTAATGTTAAATTGTAGTGGAAAAATGCTTTTTAATTTTGTTATTTCCCCAAGCTTTATTGAGATATAATTGACATATAACATTGTATAAGTTTAAGATGTACAACATGTTGATGATACACTTATATATTACAAATTTATTGCCACTATATTGTTAATTAGCACCTATGTCATATCATCACATAGTGTCTATCTCTCTCTTTGTGCTGAGAATATTTAAGATTTGCTCTCTTAGTAACTTTCAAGTATATAATACATTACTATTAACTATTAGAGGCCCAGTGCACAAAATTCATGCATGGGGGCGTGGTCCCTCAGCCCAGCCTGCACCCTCTCCAATCCAGGACCCCTCAGGGGATGTCCAACTGCCGGGTTAGGCCCGATTGGGCCTAACGGGTCCCGGATTGCGAGAGACTGCAGGCGGGGCTGAGGGATGGCCACCCCTCTCCCACCCCACCCCCATCCCCTCACTGCCCCCCGTGCCAGCCTAATCACCCCAACTGTACCCCCCTCCCACCAGCCTGGTCACCCCACACAGCCTGCTGTTCAGTCATTTGGTCGTCCCTCACTAACCCCCTGCTGGCCTGGTTGTAGGCAGCCATCTTGTGAGAGTATGATGGTCAATTTGCATATTACCTCTTTTTATATTGATATTCACTATTCTGTACATTAGATTGCTATAACTTATAACTGAAAGTTTGTACTCTTTGACCAACATCTCTCCTTTTTCCTCAACTTCCGACCCCTGGCAACCACCATTCTATT